TTGCTGAAGGGAATGTCTGTGCGAATGGAGCATGCGACCGCGTCATCCGCGTCGTCCGATGCCGTGGAACTTCGGATGCAGAGGCATTGCGAGATGATGCAAGATGGTGTTGCCCAGCTGCTGAGTTTTTTGTTACTGAGCTTTGTTAAACTAGTTTTTTGTTGATGCGTTCAGCCTTCAGTTTGCAGGTCTCTGCGACAGTGGTTCTTTGCCATGTCAAACTCATGAGTGGTGTTCTCAGTTTGGAAGTCAGAGAACAACTGCTTTGCAGTGGATTGTCCAACTTTGCAGCGACAAGCATAGTTTACCTCTTTATCTCTTTCCTGGGCTCAGAGGTGTACGTAGAGACAAGATGCATTGAGCACGGAGTGAACATCCATTGAGACAAGATGCATTGAGCACGGTGATGTACGCTGAATGTTCGAGAAACAAGTGACGATTGGCTAACAGGTATCTGTAACATTTCTTGCACTTCTCGAGGTTTCTGTAGGGGCTGTCTGTGAGATCTCGAGAATTGCATTGTGACAATGTCAGTGTTTGTTTACGATGCAGTGGATCTATGTGATGTATAGCACAAAAAAAACATGTGATGTTTTCATTGAAATGCATGAGCAGTGGACAAAAATTGATACGGGAATCATTGTACCGTTCAATCTTGTACCGTTCAATTTTGTTTTGAAATCAAGCATGTCATGGCATTTTTTTGAAAGCAAGCGAACAAATATGCATGTCTCGGAATTTCTGAATGCAAAATGTTTGTTTGAAGTCACGCACCCGTGACGTTTGTGGACGTTTTGTGGTCGCTGTTTCATTTGCTGAAGGGAATGTCTGTGCGAATGGAGCATGCGACCGCGTCATCCGCGTCGCCCGATGCCGTGGAACTTCGGATGCAGAGGCATTGCGAGATGATGCAAGATGGTGTTGCCGAGCTGCTGAGTTTTTTGTTACCGAGCTTTGTTAAACTATTTTTTTGTTGATGCGTTCAGCCTTCAGTTTGCAGGTCTCTGCGACAGTGGTTCTTTGCCATGTCAAACTCATGAGTGGTGTTCTCAGTTTGGAAGTCAGAGAACAAATGCTTTGCAGTGGATTGTGCAACTCTGCAGCGACAAGCATAGTTTACCTCTTTATCTCTTTCCTGGGCTCAGACGTGAACGTAGAGACAAGATGCATTGTGCACGGAGTGAACATCCATATTCTTATATGTACGCTGAATGTTCGAGAAACAAGTGACGATTGGCCAACATGTATCTTTAACATTTCTTGCACTTCTCGAGGTTTCTGTAGGGGCTGTCTGTGAGATCTCGAGAATTGCATTGTGACAATGTCAGTGTTTGTTTACGATGCAGTGGATCTATGTGATGTATAGCACAAAAAAAAAATATGTGATGTTTTCATTGAAATGCATGAGCAGTGGACAAAAAATGATATTGGAATCATTGTACCGTTCAATTTTGTACCGTTCAATTTTGTTTTGAAATCAAGCATGTCATGGCATTGTTTTGAAAGCAAGCGAACAAATATGCATGTCTCGGAATTTCTGAATGCAAAATGTTTGGTTGAAGTCACGCACCCGTGAAGTTTGTGGACGTTTTGTGGTCGCTGTTTCGTTTGCTGAAGGGAATGTCTGTGCGAATGGAGCATGCGACCGCGTCATCCGCGTCGTCCGATGCCGTGGAACTTCGGTTGCAGGAGCTGCGTAGCAGTGCTGTGACCAGGGGTCGTGAATGGCTACAGGATGCCCTGGCAAAAATTTCTGTAATGGAGCTTCGCAAAATGGCACAGGCTCGGAATGTTGGCCGTGGACCGGACAAGAAGTGGTTTGCGGTTGAAGAGCTGCGCGCTCGATTGCTGGATGTCTTGGCACCTCCAACGCAGGTCCGGTGGGGCAGACTAGGATTGTGACGAAAGTTGCATGTTTGTCACATGGTGCAATGTTGTAGGATGATGGTTGTTTTGTGGTGGCAGTGTGTCGGATGCTGTAGGTGGACGAGGCATCGGCTGCCAAATTGGAAGAACTTCGCCTTGGAGCTGTTTCACAGGGCAAGGAGTGGCTCAGTCGTTCTTTGTACGAAATGCGAAAAGAGGAGCTGTGGTGCCCGATCTGTAGCTGGATTGCTGTGGTGCCAACCAAGAACCCGGCGATCCAAACGAGTCAGACGATAGCTGGACATCTCAGCAAGTCTCTGCTGGCTGGGCAAAGGTCATGACCGTGACAATACCACACTTTCGTCATCATCATATGAAATATATCAAAAAAACAGTCAGAAGCATAGAATATGTTTGGAGGACAATGGCAGCCGAGAGATGTTACATCTGCGGGCACTGCAACGACTGCGTTGTGAATCTCGAGTATGAGCATCCTGCTGACTGGCTGGAAGATCTTTCTGTGTTCACAGAGATGCTGGAACTTAGGTCGTGTCCGTGGGGGTGCCCAGATAAAGATCGACCGCAGTAGCCGGATTGCTGCAGTAGTAAAAGCGGCAAACATGCCACATCTGCAGCATCATGATACCGACCTTTGCTTGGAAGCAGCTTGTGGGAGCTGGAAGGCTTGCGTACCGAGTGGCACATGGAACTGAGTGCAACTGGCGCAAATTAATCTGTAGCAGTGTTCGTCTGGAGAGACTGTTCGTGACGAACATGCAAAACCAGTAGCCAACTGTTGTTTGTCTGTAAAGATTTTTTTTTCCATCCTGTAGGGACATCGGAGAAATGCAGTGAAACAGGTGTCATCCTTGCCATCATGATATCGAACTTGCTATTGTGGAATCATTTACAGCATTCTTGCACGGACTTCTAGATTCTCTTGGATGCCATGGTACGGAGCCTTTGTTTGTGTACTTTTGCATTTTTTAGCGTTTCCATTGCGACTATGTTTGCCCACCTGTGTTGGCAACTGAGGTCATCCACGGCATCATGGTGCCGAGCTTATTTTGTATCTCAAAGAGCGGATGCCTTGCATTGGATTGTGCGTTGATCATGGTACTGAGCCTGGTCTTGTGCACCTTTGCGATTTTTTAGCATTTCCATTGCAACTATGTTTGCGCACCTTTGTTTGCAACTGAGGTCACCCAGTGGTGCCGCGCTTTGTGAGCGTCTCTGTGTAAAAGTGTGTAAAAGCGTCTGTGTGTAAAAGTGTCTGTGTGGAAAAGCGTCTGTGTGTAAAAGTGTCTGAGTGTAAAAGCGTCTGTGTGTAAAAGTGTCTGTATGTAAAAGTGTTTGCGTGTAAAAGCGTCCGTGTGTAAAAGCGTATGTGTGTAAAAGTGTTTGTGTGTAAAAGCGTATGTGTGTAAAAGGGTCTGTGTGTAAAAGCGTCTGTGTCTGTGTGCAAAAGCGTCTGTGTGTAAAAGCGTTTGTGTGTGAAAGTGTGTGTGCGTCTGTAAAAAAGGCATCTGCATGTAAAAGCGTATGTGTGTAAAAGAGTCTGTGTATAAAAGCGTCTGTGTGTTAAAGTGTTTTCGTGTAAAAGTCTCTGTGTGGAAATGCGTCTGTGTGTGTGCATGAAAAACGTCTCTGTGTGAAAGCGTCTGAGTGTAAAAGTGTTTATGTGTAAAAGATTCTGTGTGTAAAAGCGTCTCTGTATAAAAGCGTCGCGTTTCTTCGCGTTCACGGAATGATGGTGCCGCGCCTTTTTCCGCAATGTGTGTGGGAATTACCATAATAAAATGAGATAGCACATGTCATTCGCAGACTCATGGCACTGAGCCTCCTGTGCACTTTTGTTGCTCACATTACATTTCTCCATGTTTTCTTTCTACCCCACCCCTTTCATTCTCTCTCTCTCTCTTGCTTTCTCTTTCTCTCTCTCTCTCTCTCTCTTTCTCTCTCTCTCTCTCTTTATCTCTGCCCCCTCTTTCTCTCTCTCTGGTTGCAAGACACATGTCATCTGATGCCCTTTACCAAATATTCTCTTCTTGATCAATCTTACTTTTTCACATCATATCTTTCCATAGCTCATATAAAATTCATCAACTATTCACCGACTATCTTTTACGACTACCATCCTCAGAGCTGCTTGAAAAACATCTTTTTCGCTCTCGGGCCAACCGTCGTCTAGTTTTATAGATCAATTTAGGTATGTTGCCTATGCGCACGGGATGGCAGGGAACCATGCAGAACCATGCAGATAGGTGGGGACTTTCGCACGTAGAACCTCCTAAATCCAACCTACGCTGATAGAATTGGAGTGCCACCATGTTTCTTGATATATAAGGTTTTTAAAGATCAGATTAGGTATGTTGCGTATGTCCCCGGGATGGCAAGGAACCATGCAGAACCAGGCAGATAGGTGGGGACTTTCGCACTTAGAACCTCTTGAATCACAACCTACGCTGATAGAATCTTTCCAGGTTGGTGTGCCAATATGTTTCTTCGTCAGGGTTTTTATAGATCAGATTAGATGTTGCATATGTGCGCGGGACGGCAGGGAACCAGGCAGATAGATGCGGACTTTCACACTAAGAGCCTCCTAAATCGCAACCTACACTGATCGAGTATGCCCAGATTGGAGTGCCAACATGTTCCTTGATAAGGGTTATATTGTTGTGACCGTGGCTTTGTGTTCTAGGTGCACCAGCCGACTAGTGGTGATGGATTTTGCCTTTGGGTGGGATGGCTAGGTGGCTAAAACCACCAAGGGTTTTTTAAATAGTGACAGCTGCTCCGCCTAGCAGAAAAGAATACGATTCGTTCCACATTATATTGATTCTAGTGTGTTTTCTGATCATAATTATGTTGAACATATTATGTTATACATGTTTACCCTGGTTATAGGAATGATAGGGGATGAGGCAAATGGTTGGGGGACTTCGCACTTAGAACCTCGCCCAAATAAAACCGGACTCACACTTAGAACCTCCGGACTCGCACTTAGAACCTCTTCTAAGTGCGAAAAAAAAATCATACCCGAGCGTTTTGGAAAATTTCCACAGGTTCTAGCCAACTGTCCGGCACTATAAATTTATAGCATTTGTGTTGGTCAAGTCAACCGCATCAACGAGGTAATGACCCACTTCCTCAGGAGGGTGTCCTGCAGGCGCACGGATGAAGTGATGGATTTTTCATCTGGGTAGATTGGACATGCTGGGTTTTCCGGTGGTCCCAAGATGTCCAAAGCAACTAAGACAAAAGCACTCTGAATTATTGGGCAGCTTGCCTTGATAGGGGGTTTGGTGCAGACTGGGTTATTTAAAACCACCTCGGCAAAAGGATTATACTGCTGCAAAAGCCGTCGAAGCAGAGAAAAAATGCATTAATCCGAAAGTGGAAGCGCGTTGCCTTGATGTTCATCGACGGAATTTCGCTGCCCCCAAACTTGTGGCTGTACATGCTCTTGCATGGGGTAGATGTGAGAGCACGTGCCCTCCGATTTCTTGGACGTGCCATCTTCGGCAACGTGCTGTGCCAAACCCCTGCAGGGGATCATCTCCCAATCCAGTCTGCAAGCAGTCGCGACAGACGGGAGCGATAGGCATCGCAGTGCCGGGTGATTCTCTCTGTTAAGGCTCCCATCGCTTCAAGAAAGGTGACCCTTTGGCTGATTTGTTGGAGACCATGCGGCTCGACACGGTGGCCCCTCGGCGTGCCATTTCTGTGTCTAAAAGTGGGTGCCTGGCACCTGAGACTGATCCCGAAGCTGGAGATATCCAGTGGGATTCTACACAGCAGTTCAACCCTGAACATAGTCAACATAGTCCATTTTGGGAAACTAATCCCTCCAACCCATGGCAGAGTCTCCGCAACCAGATCCTGCGGCTTTTGACACCTTGGAAGGGACTGGATTTCTGGTTGCGGGACCAGCTTCCAAAGGAAACATGACAAGCCGACGGCCAACTGGCACTTGATCAGTAACCAGTCAAATGAATGTCAAATGAGTAACCGACAAAATTATCGTGATTTAGTTTTGCTTCGCCTTGGCCTTTTTGAGGTCACAAAACCTTCATAACCGATAGGGGGGCGACCCGATACCGATACCCCATGTGTGATACCACCGAGAGTACTGAAATCCTTGCAGCCGATGGGGCACGACCCTAGTTTGTGCATGGCATTAATTTTAACAAGTAATTTTGTCAATTTTGTCTGCTACTCAAATGTTCAATTGTTTCATCAAATGTTGCACCGTTTCGTCCGAATGAAATGAAGTATTCTAAGCCTCCAAGCTAGCAGTTTGATAGAACCAGTGTTGAAGAAGGCTATTGACTCCGTCCAGTCAGCCCGAAACAGCTGCCTGGTTTCAACGTGGATATCAGTCACTTCGTCAAGATGCTTACTGTTGGCAATACTTCTAAATGGGTATGGATCAATACCTATTAATACCATTTTTAGGGGGATGAACATCCACTTACCAGCTATTTTGATGTTCACCAGGGGTACAAGGTTTTGACACACTTCTAAATGGTCCATATATTAGTGTTTGTCTGACAATATGGTACCCCCAAAAATTTTCCCCTAAATCCAGCGGTTAATCATCATTGTCCGACCATTTTAGGGGGATATATATCCCATGGGATCCATGGTGCTGGTATATATGCTAACATAAAGGGGGTATATTGATGGTAAATGTTACCATATATAGCAGCACCATGGATCCTATGAGTATGGATATATGATATACTGTACCTACCCCATTTTCAATCCTCAGTCACTGAACGCCTAGTCTGGATTTGATTGAACCCATCCCAATTGGCCTCATAGTTTGGTCGCCGTGTCTTTGTTTTCTGCGCAACTTTTTTTTCAATGTTTAAGGGATGTTTGGTGCGGAATCATCCATGATTTCCCCTCTGGTAATTTAACATAGCCATGACAAATCACCATTCTTAATAGGTAAACCATCTATTTCTATGGGCCATCTATACCATGGCTATGTTAGTCATAACCAGATGGTATATGATTTTTCATCACTGAGAGCCAACCACTCAGCATTCTGCAGTGGGGTCAACCCGGGTCGAGGTGCAAGTAATGGGAATCGCTCCTGGTGCTTGGTCCGAGTTGTACTTTGGTGCCTTGGACCATGGAGATTGTTGAAATTTGGATCTTCGATGTTTCAAATGGATTGATTTCACAAGAAGGGTCCTCAAAATCCAATGATGAATCATGACTGGTTGGTGGTTTGGAACAAAAAACCTATTTTTCCATATATCGGGAATAATCATCCCAACTGACTGCAACTTTTTCAGAGGGGTTGAAACCACCAACCAGATGATAATTGTTCTATTCAAAAATTGTTTTTGTTTGGGGCTGTACAGCATTTTCAGACGCAGACACATGAAAAAAATGCAGGAAACAACTGAATATGTTATTGATATTTTTAGTATGTGTGATGTTCCATTGGTTCTTGCTTGAACTCCAAAAAATGTACCCTGTGTAGAGTTTAGGTTTCACTTGTATCTCCATTATTCCCCATTTGTTTGTTCAGAGGTTCAAATGCCAGCATATCACAAGAAACGTGAGTTTTGCATCAGCCATTGAGCTCATCAAGCGGAAAAAAAGATGCTTCGACGATTTGAGCGACGTGGAGATGCACTTTTCACATGCTCCATGGTGCTGGTTTATAGTACCAACATTTACCCGAACAAAATCACCCAGTCATGGATCGGTTTCAGATTACAAATGCTCCATGCATGGAATATTTATGAATATTTACCATCATACCCTAGACATCACCCAAATGTAGGTAAATATACCAGCACCATGGTTCGCATAGACTGGCAGGGCTTCAGGAATGGATCGTCCCATTGAAATCAGAGCGAGGTTTCCTGGCCATTGCCCGAAAAAATCCGTGGTGTCTCGGTACGTAGCTAGAAGAAGCAGCTATAGAAATAGTACTTTTATGTAATTTTGATACGTTCACATGCCTGTACACTCCCAAGTTTATTGAAATAGAAATACAGTATATAAGTTATGTAAGTAAATAGTTTACAAAATAGTGGATTTTCCAGCTAGCTATGATTAATAAATAAGCAGAAGGCATCCCAGAGCTTTCAGTCGAATTGGTTTGCACCAATGTTTTTACCCATTTCTGCTCCACAGATGGTTTACCATCCTTTTTTGCGATTGGTAAATTAAACAATGATACCCCACATGTCACCCATTCCAAAATGAATGCTTGAATAGTTCATTCCATTGTAAATTACCAATTGTGTGGGTCCCTTTGTGCATAGATAGGCTATGGAGTCTATTGAATTGGTGACCGCAACTGATATAAGCCACAAATTATTGCCCTTATGTCTTGGCATATGACACCATTTATCACCACCAGTTAACCAGCTAAACATGGCCCATCTTAGTATTCGATATGTCCCAGTACTTGCCATCATATCATTATGTTTGCTAGGTTGAAACCCTATTTAGTTGTTTTATTGTCAAGAATGTTAACACCTCCAATGAAACTGGTGGCCTTCTATTAGATCCACAAGTCCTTTGGTCTCAACAAAAATTCTGGAGAACTGTCATGTTAGTACTACAACTGCCCAAGTAGATGCATGGTGTTAGGCTTACTGGTGCTAAATGCAGGGAATTTTCGGGAATCCGGGAATGATCCATTTCATCATTATAGTAAGAATCATCCCAGCACCCCCCAGCAACCCATCCATTCCCTGCGTAAAACGCACCAGTAAGTACAATGTGGTTCCCCCCAGTTATAAGTTGGTTTATAATCCCCAGTAACTATAGTCATAAAATGTTATAAATACCATAAACCATAGTGAAATTGGACTTATTTGCACCAAGTTAGCTATTTTGGGGACCTCACATTGTAGGGGTGGAACTCCCGGAGAACTTGGGCCAGATCTCGGCCATGAGATCCCCATCGGTGAATTTTCCCAGGTGCCCTGGAAGGTTTCGAAGAGTTGCCGCTTCGCAAGGCCTTGGAAGCCGCCTGGCCCGGCGACTACCAGGGTGACTTGGTGAGACTTGGTGAGGTGGTTTACCCGGTTGTGAAATGAACTGTGGATGGGCCAGCGAAATCCTGCACCAGTTGAAAACGGTGGTAAACATCCCATTATTTATAGATCTCCTTGGGAATTTCCACTATAAAATATGGGGGGATACGTACCCGATAAGAGCATTTTTTAATACACATTTTGTTCTCTTAGGGCTCGGGTGTAGCCCCCCATTTTATACAGTTTTTTTTGGGGTCAGAGCAGCATTTTTTAGTGAAGTTCACCTGCTGGGTGACAGCTACGTACAGTGTCATAGGTTCCCATTCTTTAGAGACCATATGATTACTCTGGAAAACCGCAATTTTCCAACGTCATGGGTTCGCATTGTATAGTGGCTGAAACTGTTATCAGCATCAGTATCACCAAAAAAACATACATCACCATACCATACCCTACCCATCACATCAAAACCCAACCTATACAACTGGGAGTCGTTCTAAAGGTCCATGTAAGGGTTTTTAATTGCCAAGGCCGCCGGGTTTCAACATCAGACCCCGCGCAAGAGTTTTTTTTCTGAGTTTGCGAAAGTTTGTTTTTTTTGCGAAAGATTTAGCAACATACTTTAACCTGAGACCCCCGCGAAAGATAAACTCGGGGTTCGCAAAAAAAAATGCGAAATTACTTGTTGTATTCACGAAGAATGGCCGTTTCAAGAGAAAGGAATTTAGAACAACCGCCACTATAAAATGGAAAAAAGACAGAAATGCCACAATTATTGCTACATGTTGCCACCACATGCTACAAGTTTAACCACATTTTACAAAATGCATCCAAAAGCTTCAAGATACCCAAAATTGAGCAATATTACACTTGTTATAGATGTATATCCTGTAAATATCTGATTTTTGTGGAATATTCTGGAATGTTTTATGTTGTTGTTTTTAAGTAATGTTTTCCATATTTGTCCATTTTATAGAGGTATATATCTGTAATATGTGGAATATTCTGGAATGTGTATGTTGTTTGTTTTTTTTGTAATGTTTTACATAATTTTCCATTTTATAGAGGCATAACCTGTATATATCGGGAATATGTGGAATATGCTATATAGAATGTTTTATGTTTTTGTATGGTAGTCATGTTTTACATAATTGTCCATTTAATCAATGCATAACCTGCATATATCTGGAATATGCGGAATATTCTGGAATATTGTATGTTTGTTGTTGTTTTTTTTAAATATGTTACATAATTTTCCATTTTATAGAGGCGCATAACCTGTATATATCGGAATATGTGGAATATTCTGGAATGGTTTATGTGTTTTTATATTTTTCATGTTTTGGATAATTTAATTGCCCATTTTATAGAGGCAAAACCGGACATAGCAACGGAAAATCATTGGCAAAACACCATTTAGAAGAACATAATCTTGCAAATGGAGATGTCAGCATGCAGGGAAACACCGGAAACACTTTCTTGGAAGGAAAAACAAACTGCACGGAACGGGAAATCACAGCCTCATGCGGCACTTTATGCCTCTATAATCCTCTATATATCTGGAATATGCGGACTATTCTGGAATGTTTTATGTTTTTTTGTTTTATGTTTTACATATACCAAAACGCAGGTGGCCCAGTCTGAACCATGCGTCCAGATCACTGCGGGTCGATCCATGTGGTTATAGCCTATAGCCCTTAAGAGTTATGAATGGAAGATCATGAAACATCATGGCATTATTATGGAATTATAAGGAAAGACCCAGGGATTATAACATGGGAACCCATGAAGTCAGAAGTTGGGTTTCTAAGGGTATACGGTATATAATCACTATAAAAGGGGAACCCATGACGTCAAGAAAACCCTGGGTTTAAGGCTTGTTAAGGAAATCCAGACATTTGGGGTGGTTATAGGCCCCCATTCTATAGTGAGTTTTGGGTAAGTTTAGGAAAGTAAAGATAGGCTCGACGATATGTCAGAGTGCCCCATTTTAAGTAGTGTTTGAAGGGTTTTGGGGTTAAACAAGGGATTAAGTGATGGCAAACCCTCCGCATTTATAGAGGTAAACCCTCCCCAGCAGGGTTTTGGGTTCCCATTTTATAGAGGACCCTGTTTGTGGGGGGGGATGTACACCGGCATTTTGGCCCTATAAAATGGGTAACAAGGGGTTATTTATAAGCTTTCAACCATCCAAGGTGGGTGGAAGAAAATCGCAACCACCCACCGTAGCTATTGAAAATGGCCATTGATATAGTTGATTTACTTATTAAAGATGGTGGATCTTTCCAGTTCGCAAACTGTAAACGCTATTACCAGGCCGGGTATCCCACGTAAATCTGAGCCATTCTAATGGGTTTTTGTTCGTCCTATACATGGTGTTGTTGTTCACCAACAAATCGTGATTTAATCATTGACATGTAGGGATTTAACGGATATATCATCTAATCTAAAATATGGATACATATGGTTAGTGGTTACCCTATATGGTAGAACAAACATATGATGCTTGTACCCTCTGGGAAACTACCCTAGGTTACATTAACATACGTAAAATCAATCATTTGTAGACAATTTTCCCAGGGAAGACCATAAATAGGTTTTCTACATCTAGTTCGTTTGCCACAGGGTAACATAACTATGGAACATGTTATAGGGTAGTTGTCTTGAAACAATGTCAGTCAAGGGTTCCTCCGGTACATATGGGTGCGTCCCAAAATTGGGGAAGATCTCCAAAATGGCTAGTTATGTAACGGGGAAAGCAAAATCAAAACTATCCGATTCAGGTCCTAGGGCCCTAGGGTTTGAGTCAATCCCAGAAATCATGATGTTTCTTGATTCGAGTTTTGCATTCCCAAAAATATATATGCCCTCTGGTTATTTAGCATAGCCATGGAAAATGGCCAATTTATAGATGGTCTACCTATTAAAAATGGCGATTTTCCATGGCTATGTTAGTTTACCAGAGGGTACCTCCATTCTTATTGGTTCAGTCCCCAAGTAGTATGTATCACATCATATCTCTGGGTAAATTGCAGCGACCGAACCCTGCCACGTCACTGGAATGAGAATCATCCCAAAATGGCCGAACTTTGAACAAGGTAGCCACAAGGGAGAAAGATTAACAATTTTACCTCTTGACCAACCCATTTTCCCTGATTGTGTTGGGAATAACCCTGTTTCATATCGGTGAACAATATGGTTGTCTCAAAAGATGGGAATACCAAGACATGTCCATTTTATTCCATTTTGACAGCGGAAATTATGATAAACACACGGATTTATGAGCACAATATTTTCAATCATGATCATATGACATGATTTATCCATATACAATGTTGTGCTCCCCCAATTTTAAGTTGGTTTTTAAACCCATCTAAGTACAGGTATAATTTAACTTTATATATAAACGATAAATCCGAAGTAGAACTGACAAGAACCAACTTAGCCATCCCGAACTGGGGCACCACTTGGTAGTCATAAAAACGTGTTTGAAAAAGTGTCCTGGATGCTCAGGTTCTACTGAAGATGAGGAGGAGCTGGACCATTGGTGAATCGACGAATCGATGCAGTTGAACCAAGGGTTTCAACTGGTGGTTTGAGTTGGTAATTGTCAAACACATGTCTCAGATTGTCTCAGGAAACATGATGTAGCTGCGTGAATGGGAATATTTTTCATATTTTATGTTAACATGTTTTACCATGTATACGTAGGTACAGGTAAAAAAAAAGCAGACAAACAACAATCAGCATGCAAACATCAAAACATCCGCATATTGTATTTATACATAGTTTTGAACACGCGAGGTAAGAGACAGAGAGAGAGAGAGAGAGAGAAAGAGAGAGAGAAAGAGAGAGAGAGAGAAACAGTGAACGTATTCCATGGTTGTCCTTGTCCAAAATGAGATTGATTGCCTATACTGGTTACCGTTATTGATTTGTTTTTGAAATTGTACCACACTTTTCTTCAGTATGGTACCACAAGGGGTAGCCACCGAATTATGAATTACATTCACTACATTTAATTACTCAAATTGTGTGCCCACAGATGCAAGCACAACGCAACATGCAAAATTCAAGACCTTACGGACCACCAGATGTCAGTCATTTTTTGGTATTAAGCATGGAATTGTTGGGGTACAAAGTGGGGTACCCAATGTTGACCCATACCCGGGTTTGCTAAGTCATGGTGAGTACGCCAAATCATCCAAGTCACTAGATCAAGTATTTTCTAAGCCATACTGACTTGGGAATCCCCATGACTTAAAAGAGCCCCATATAGGAATCAACCAACAGGGTTATGAACATTATATATCATTATATCCTATGAAATTCCATAGAATCAGCACTTAATCGCAGTATATCACCATTATATACCATATGTGGATTCCGCAACCCAGAAGCCAAGCAATTGACTTGTCAACGGATGCCAACAACCCGACGGAATGTGACCAGTTTGGACTCCTCGGGATGTGGCTGAGAAATTCAACCATAAAAAAGTCCCTTACAGAGAGTCTTTGGACCGGATCAGCGAGAAGCAGAACAGACTATTTACTGTAATAATCTGTAATATATATATGTATACAATAATATTTAATAATTCTGCATTTATATCCAATATATCTAATACAACGACTAATGTTCACCCTATTCTTGTGAGCATTCTGTTCATGTCTGAAAAGTTCATTGTTTCACTCTAATACCTTGCGATCTGTCCCATTCTATCCGCTTCGTATTTGTGAATGCGTGTGACCCGCTAACCAAAACGCTCTGATATGGGTGGAAGCCAATGGGCGTATGTATTCTACATTGTTTCTTCCTAAATTTGCTCATTGGCATCCCATTATCTCCCAATGATGTTCATAATTATTATTCCCTATCCTGGAACCCCCAACCAGAAATAGCCATGGTTGTTTCCCTGTGGACTCAGAATCCTTACATAACAGATAGGTGCCAGTGGGAAACCCACCATGTATTTCTATAGTTCAATTCGTCTTGTTTGGTTCGAAAAGAAAGTGCCTTTTGTGTTTTTAGATTAATATATCATCATTATAGAAACTACATCCCAGATATTCCCAAATTCTATATCTGCATTTCAGACATCCCCAAATGTTCATGCCCCTACCCTTCTTTTATTATTTGTTTATGGTTTCTTGATCGCCTCGCGCGTTCACCGGTCCCGAGGCAAAACGCGACCTTTCAGGAACTTCAAACGGGGATTCTGAAGTCCTGCGGCTACTGGGCGGACTACTGGACCTTTGGGACTTCAGCGGACTCCTATGGCTATTGGTACCTGAAACTGGAGATGGGGACGGAGGATGCGAAATGAGGTTGGGCCCAACATGGAAAGGACATGATGCAAATCCAAAAAACTTGGGGAATGTATAGGGAATTGTAAGGGCTATACTACCCAATTTGGGATTAGATGTGGTCATAAGGACATGGGACAGTGATGGGGAGAGGCAAATAAAATAGGGACTATGAAATAGAATTATGAAATAGGGTAGGGACTCTGAAATTGGAATTATAGGTCTCGGATGCTTCTGATTTGTTTTTGAAGGAAAATAAGAGGTAATCATGGGAACATTATAGGGTATATAGGAATATCACAGGAAATATTGGGGAACAGAAGAATGATCATAGGCTGACTTCATTTGGTTCCTGGTTTCATTCATAGTTTAGACATATTGTGATTAATCTTCAACCATAGATGATTGGGATGATGATCATGGAGGTTGAAACCACCAATCAGTCGTGTAAGTGAATATCAACAGTGGGGATTAGAATAAACTACGCTCCCCCATGTTAACATAGACCCTGCCCAACAGGGACTTGGTTATTAACGCTTTCACGGTCTATGTTAAACAAGCAGAGGTAGATCAAAACCTGATGTTCCAATATATATATATATATGATATATATATAGTTATGATTTACATATATATATAACATATATAATAATCTATATATACATGTATATATATATATATAATTATGTATTGATTGAGGGGATGGATGTCCAGGCATGTTGCTGTGAAAACCAAGGCTTGACCAGGGTGAACTGACCCAGAAATCACTGTATGGTAAGCCTCGGTTGCGCATCACCTCGATGTGAAAAAAAAGTCGAGCGATACCCTCTGGTAATTTGACATAACTATTGAAAATCACCATTTAATGGGATTTATAGTGATTTAATTGGGATATTAATGGGATTTACCCTCTGGTTATGTCAAAATAGATTGAAAATGGTCATTTATAGTGGAATTACCCACTAAAAATGGTGATTTTCAACAGCTATGTTAGTTTACCAGAGGGTATGGCAGAGAAGTGACCCTAGTTACATGGTCTCGTCAAAAAACATGCTGTTTTGTCAGCATATTCTCCATTCTCAAAAAACATGCTGTTATCACATTTGGAGATGTTGGAAGGCAAAAACTTGGTACAACTGGTACTGCGGACATGCCGCTGTGGCAGGTATGTGCGGCCGCCCTATAACACCATGGCCCCCAGCGTGGATCTCATCGTCAACGATGTCAAAAGGTGAGTGGTCAATCCTCCAAACATGTTTCAGTTATGGGGGGTGAATCATTGGTTTGTTTTTTTCATATAAGGGTTATATAATGGTTTATATAATGGTTAAAAATGGTTGATAACGACCAAGGTTATTAGGTTGGTGGTTTGGAACCATGGACTTTATGACTTTCCATATTAATTGGGAATGTCATAATCCCAACTGACGAAGTCATACTTTTCAGAACGGTAGGCTCAACCACCAACCAGGGAAAATCAACCTGAAAGATCTTATGGGGATGCGTGAAAAAAACTACACGGCCGATTCTGGAGACATGAACATCGCTGGACGTCAAGATACAGGTGTTTGGGTATGTTTGTTGGTTTATAAACCTCATGATATACCAAGCAACATGGTGAAAGTACTCAAATTACGGAGTAAGAGACCATTTTTGAGGGTACATGCAGGGTCTAGGTATACATATATTATATTATGTTTACCATGTACAACCCAGTTATTTTTATAATCTGACTTATCGGTTCCTAACTGGCGGACCAGCTTGGAAGAACTCGTCAGTTTACTCGTCACAAGTCAGCCTTGGTCAGGTGGCAAAAGATTCTACTGGACTTGGAGGAAGAATTAGCTCACTTACGCGGCTCAGAGATCTGGAAAATGTAAAGAAGGGGCACAAGTCTATGATATTCCGATGAATGGAACGAGCCAACTGATGAACTAGCTACTATAGCTACTGGCTTCCCGAATACCTTAGCGGATATAGAAACCATTTACGATCGCCAAGAAAGTTCCCTTGCCCATCGAGCCAGTTTTGACGGATGGTCCCCAAGTTTTGATGGGTTTTTCACTTCCTTCGACATGGCGAACTGGTGAAGGATAGCTAAGGATAGCTTCATAATTTACGAACCAAAAGGGAATGTTGATGAGGGAATGTCTTTTTTTCATCGCAGAAAAACGGCGCACATTTACTCAAGTCAAATCTGCCATGTGTTACTGAAATACTCATGTTTGTTGGGTTGATGTTGATGGCTAAATCCATCTATTTTTTTAGATGTATTATTGTTGGATCCACTTGTTGAGTGGTCATATCTAATGTTTCCTCCATCCTCAGTGCCTATATAATTATATGTATACACATACCATAAAGCCTGGTCAACCTACTAAAAAACCACTTCTCCCCATTGTTTGAAGGCCACTGAACTTGCTGGCAAATGAATTTGCGAAATGCGTGAAATCCTTTGGCGCCTTAGGTTCCCGCTGCTCCGGCTTTGAACTCTGTGAACACTTGGAGATTGCAGTTGCTCCTTGGCGTCATCAACTCCATGGCTGGTGAGGTTTCTGGAAAGATCATCGAAATAAAGGAACGGTCCAGCAAACCATGGTGAAGACTTGGGTTGATTGCGTTTGTGCGGAACTGGGATGGTCATCAATCCCTTCATAGTGTAGTGTTTTTTTTGTATGTTGTTATACCTATACTAGGATTCCCAGTGGGATGGATGACCATCACCCATATACCATCATTTTTTTTATCATATACCATGTTTTGAGCCTGGCACATATGGGTACTGGCTGCGAAACCATGTTGAACAGCCCTGTCTGTTAGTTTTTTGAATGGGGACTTAACCATCATTGATTGGGAGGTGTTTAATCAACATATGAGGATATAATTGATAAATGATGGTTCTGAGCTACCGCAAATACAACGAGAGCACTGCTGTGCCACAAAGTGAATTATGTTTAGGACGATTAAGGGCAATATCCCACAACGACCAACAATTTCATGTTTTTGAGTTATTATGATTTAGGAAGACACATCTAATGATCAGAGACAAACAACGAAGTAATTGATTGGACCCTCCCAAACAAGCGATGCCCTTGATGGCAATATCATAGTGGACTTTGATTTTTTGACGCCATCATTTGAGCAATGCCCCCAAACATCAAGTACTATATATACAATGTGAGGCCCCCAATATAGCTAAGTTGGTTTATGGCTCCAATAACTATGGTTTATGGTATTTATAACAATAGTTACTGTGGCGAATCTAAACCAACAAACATCACGTTTGGGGGCCCCACATTGTACAATAGTGTGAGAAGCTCACCTGGACTTTCACAAAAGTTTGCTGATGCTTGAGTTTCCAACATTGCTCATATCGAGATGGAACAATAAACTATCAGGAAACCGATGAACTTTGGCCTAAACAAGATAGCCAAAGATCAAAATTTGAGCAGCAAACATCGCGATTTCAATAGCAACTAATCTTACAAAATGCGTGTTTCACCAGAGGTGATGAGCATTTTGCCAAGAAACATGCGTGTTAAGCAAAAAGCAATGGTGTCTTTATGGGCGTTACAAAGGGCCCAACTGACAGATGAGATGGGCGGAGACGGTGCTGACGAGTGCTTCCATGGTAATTCTTGCGTATTTTGGTATATAGAATTTATTTTCTATCTTTTTGATGATTGCTATATACGGCTTCAAATGGTGCAGGAAAACCCCTTGTTCATCCAGTGTTGAAAATCACAATCACAGTTTCGCTCTACAAAATCCATCCAGCTCATCCAACACCAGAAACCCCTGCTGTTTGGTCGTTTAGAAAGCACCTAAACCAACTTAGCCAATAGACAGTACGGGATAACCTATATCTCCAGCCACAAATAAAAGGGCCTTGACAAGGCAATATACCTGACAATCTCAATGAAGATGGACATTTATAAATATAGTACATATAGTACACATATGTATAATAGTATCAGAATATATACAACTTATACAACTATTATTTGTATGTATATAATATACCATCTATATGTATGTATGTATATATATATATATAGAACCAGCAAAAACCCTGGCGTCTCGTGGGTGTTGTTTTTCTAGACGCTTTCCAAAGAGGCCGCATTCGGATCGGCTTTCCAGGATTGTTTGCGAAAAAACATGGTAGTTTCACAAGAAGAATTGAATGATAAGTTTAATGAAATGAAACCACCTTTTTTTTTCGTTTAAAACAAGTGATTTTTTTTCCCCACCTGCCAGGTGAGGGTTGTTAGATTTTATCAGAGCTGTTCTCCTCCTCCTCCTCCTCCGCCTCCTCCGCCTCCTCCCCCGCCGCCTCCTCCTCGCAGTCCAGATCGCAGTGGGCACAGCCGGACCTCCACCGCGAGTTGCAGATCGCAGTGTGCACTGCCGGACCTCAACCGCGACTTCCAGGTCGCAGTGGGCACTGCCGGACCTCAACCGCGACTTCCAGATCGCAGTGGGCACTGCCGGACCTCAACCGCGAGTTGCAGATCGCAGTGGGCAGTGCCAGACCTCAACCGCGACTTCCAGGTCGCAGTGGGCACTGCCGGACCTCAACCGCGAGTTGCAGATCGCAGTGGGCACTGCCGGACCTCAACCGCGACTTCCAGATCGCAGTGGGCACTGCCGGACCTCAACGGGAAGAATGTGAGAAAAGATGTCAGATAGAATGTCAGAAGATATGCCAGAACATATGCCAGAACATATGCCAGAAGATATGCCAGATAGAATGCCAGATAGAATGCCAGAAGATATGTCAGATAGAATGCCCGAAGATTTGCCAGTAAGAAAATGTATAAATGTCATGGTGGGGATCACACGAAGTAAAGTAATTTATATAAGTGAAACCACCATGGTTTCTAACTACTACTTATGGTTTAATATAAAAGTGAAACCAGTTAAACTTATTGTGAATGATTCAGCTAGACTATTTTTTTAATGGTGGTCTAACAGTCTAACAGTCTAACCTAACCTACCAAGTTCTGTGGTTTTACTTTGCGGAAGTTGTTTTATGCCACAAGTATTCGACTAGGAATTGTGGTAGATATACTGTATCTATAATTACATGGGTTTGTAAATCAACAAACAATTGGCGCGCAGCACATTGTAGCAATGTTGGAGACTTACTTAGATCTGTTCAGCGCTCTGCTGATGCTTAGGCTGCATTGCTCCGCTACTGTCCATCATTTATCACAGAGGTGACATGGCATGTGGGATTTGAGTGCCTCGGTGATTTGAACGCTGTGAGATGTAGTACGATGTACGGCTCTACTGCTTATATCTGCTTATCATGTCAAGGTTTTTATTGATGTTTAGTGGACAGTGCGGTGAAAAATCTGTTGGAGAGTTATCAAAAGCAGTAAGTTAAAAAACTCGTTTTCCCATATAAGAACCGATGTCTTTAAACAAATGCTGGAGTACTACACCGATGAGCATCTGGGGTGAGCCGCGGAGTTGCCCTTAAATCTTCGACCATTTCAAACGCTGGCACTGTGGCAAAATACTTCAAGGGCAAGTCGTTGCCCAACTTTCAAACAGACAAGTCGTTGCGCTGTCCGTGTTTTCTGTGGGAATTTGACAGTTGCCAGTTGCCATGCCCATATGCTCCATGGTGCTGGTATATGCAAACCTACATGACTGGGTGATGAATTGTTCGGGTAAATGTTGGTGTGCATATTCCAGCACCATGGAGCTCGCATTTGGGATCGAAAAAACAAACTTAAGGATGTGGTATATGCCTTTCGCCGAGCTCATGTCCTGGTATTTGAGTTCCACCGGTTTCTCGGAGTTCACCTGCCACCGGGACCCAGCGGACCCAGCTGTCTAGCCATGGGGGGGTTCCCAGCTAGGCACATTTGATGTCACCGGAGGGAACTCATCCAATAAATCCAACACTGCCAGACCCGTACTGGTTGGTGGTTTGGAACCATGGAATTTTGACTGACTTTCCATATATTGGGAATGGAATAACATCCCAACTGACTAACATATTTTTCAGAGGGGTTGAAACCACCAACCAGCGTATAGTGTTTCACAAAATGGATGTAGATGGATGTATGCATGGGTTTGTGATCGTTCACATGGCCATGAAGGGTTTAATCGCCCATTTTACATTCTTGTCTAAACACATACGTGGCAATATTGGTAGTTCTATCCCCACTATATAGTGCACATTCCCATTTGTTTGGACAACACCAAATGTGTATCCATTACTACAGGAGGGTCCCCTTGGTTATAGTTTGGTTTATAAACCCCTGTAGCTATGGATGTAGCCCGTCCAAACCCAACTTGAACTTGGTCTTCTTAATGACCAATTTTGTCACGAAGGCCACCCTTTTCACGCACCGTGGCAGGTTTGGAAGAGACCCACACTAATCTGCTGGAAACGGTCACCAATGCGATCCATGGATTTAGTAGTCACTCGGTGGTCAGTATAGCCATAGGTTTCTTAAGTCATGGGGGTCCCCCCTGGCATCAGTCATTAGACCATCCCTTAGTATTGAAACAACCATGGTGACTTGGATCATTTTATGAAACCATATGGCTATACTGTTCTTTGTTTTTTTGGAATAGACTGAGATCTGTACTTCCTACAGGTCCTACAGGTCTAAACATATGTTTCTTATGAGGTATCCTAGATTGTCCAAGATTTTAGGATTCAGGACAGCAAAGTTATAACTGGTACCACTTTGAGTGTCCTGCGAGGTGACTCATGAGGAAAATCATCCAGGTTGTTGTGAGTATCCCTAAAACCCTAGACATCACCCAAATGTAGGGAAATATACCAGCACCATGGAGCATATTGGTATTCATGAACCATCCATCAATTGGAAGTCGAGAAAGATTTGAGGTCAAGGATTTAATGATTTACTTAACTGGGTATGCATGGAATGATGTGGCACTCCGTCGGTCAGAAGTTGGTTTATAAACTTATCCATATGGTGGTTTCCATAAATGGGGTACCCCAAAACAGATGGTTTATAACGGGAAATCCTATACCAAAATGGATGATTTGGGGGTACCCCCATTTTAGGAAACTTCCATATAACGATAGTCTTATCTAGCATAAACCCTACTTTGCCTAGTTATAAACCAACAAAACCTGTCGTTATTTTTTGAAATATGTTCATGGCCCCATCAGGTGCTAAAATGAATGCACCAAATTTTTATCATTTTTTTCCTGGCCAATCCAAACAACCAGAGCCAAGTTCGGATTGGGCATGGGTATGGTGGCAATAATTCTCCATTTGGGCCATTTCCTGGGATTCAACACCTGGATGGTTGTGCCATGAGTAGCCAAGGCTACTCATGGCCACCAAGTACAGCTGCAATCGTTGCCTCCCAGGCGCCAGCAAGTGGAGATCAAGAGCCCTGAAGGGATGTTGATATCCACATGGAGGTTTCCATAAACGGAGGTACCCCAATAGCTGGATGTTTTATAAGGGAACATCCCAATCTAATAGCTGGATGATAACTAGGTGTACCCCCATGAATTTGGAAACCTCCAGAAATATATGGTTTCTGATGTCCTCTTGGTTCATGCTTCCTGTTTGTTGGAGATGGTCCCCCACGGATGCATCCCATAAAAACTAAGCAATAAAAATGACACTAAGTGGGTAAGAAGTGAAATGACCATGTGAAATGACACTTACATGTTACCCATATGCGAAGCATGGTGCTGGTATATGTACATGACTGCGTGATGAATTGTTTGGGTAAATGTTGGTGTGCATATTCCAGCACCATGTTTCGCATATGCAGCATATGGGTTATGTATAGTTTTTTTTCCCGGAAATATTATATGGGCCATGGGTTATTCATGGTTCAACCATGGGTTCCGTACCCCGAAGTTGCTCCATTCCTGACCCCAAGTCCACCGTCGAGGTGGCTCCCACGTTCAAGAAACAGTTCCAGAAGGCCGGCTCCGATGTTTGTCGGAGTATTTTCCACTGACCAAAAAAAGATGCTTCTGATGTCTGTGTAGATCAATTTAAAATAACTTGATTTACACATATTCACACATATTTACACATATTCACCTAGTTTGGAACACAAATTTTCTTTTTCCATTCAGTTGGGAATATCATCATCCCAACTGACTTTCACTCCATCATTTTTCAGAGGGGTAGGTAGGCTCAACCACCAACCAGTTGTGGTGGGATCATGTCGGATCTCATTGACGCCGAGACGCCGAGTCTGAGAGTGGTTGGTGAGCGGGCCGTATATAAATATATATATATATATACATACATACATTTTATATGATTATATATTGATCTATATTATATTGATTGATCCCTTATAATTAGGGGATATGTGGATTCATTACATTGTGATTCACATGATTCACTAGAATATATATATATATATATATAGAGAGAGAGAGGTATATCACCGGGATATACTCGAGTGGTTTCAGTCACCCATCTGTTCCGAGCGATTTTGTTCTTGGCCAAGTGCATGTTGCTCAGCAACAAACGACCGGGTCCCGGGTTCAAATCTTCTGGAACGGCTCAAGGTGAATGAGGTGAATTTGCAAGATTCAGGCCCAGTTTGTTTTTTACCCTCTGGTAAACTAACATAGCTATTGAAAATTGTCATTTATAGTGGATTTACCCATGAAAAATGGTGATTTTCCATAGCTATGTTGAATTACCAGAGGGTAAAAGGAAAATACGCAATTTCCCCAGCTATAAATCTCCATTTAGTGCGGTGATTTTCCATTTGCCATGGGAATGATTTCCGGAGGCTACCACTTAAACCTGGGACTATTTTGGGCAACTGTGTTGGCCACGGTTTTCCGTGGTTTTCCAAGTCAACCACCATGTCACCAGAGTTGAGCCATTAAAAATACCCTGGTTGATTTGTTCATATACCCTCTGGTAATTTAACATATATAGCTATTGAAAATTGCCATTTATAGTGAGTTTTCCCATTAAACATGGTGATTTTCCATAGTTATGTTAGTTTACCGGAGGGTATAATATAATAATAAGCCATAGTAGGGAAACCCGTCAACCAACTAGTATCAACTAGTACAATGAGATGGGATAAGTTGTTTGTTCATGGCTCGAACCAGCATACCTTAACCCAAACTAGTTTCTTGAACTTCAGTGAGGTGGTGGTTATCCTATCTCACTTAAGGCCATGGTTTCCGTTCTTATCGAGATGTGCATGGTATGGTTATTCCCCACTTACTTGTGTGTCCATTTATTGATCCTGAGTCCTCCAAAAGAGCGCTTTCTTACCGCAAGTACAATCAGTTTTGAATGTGTCATATAGTTTTACCATGTTTTACCTAGACCATCCAAGTACCATCAGAAAATGATTTTTAACATGTTTTAACACCATCATTTTAGTATGTTTTACCGTATCATTTTATTATGTTGACATATTTTTACCGTATGTTTTTATCGGGGAAGTTGGAGGTCAACATACCCCATTTTTACAATTTTTACCATATGGCAGTGTGTCAAAACCTTGTACCTGGGATTTATGGATGTTCATCCCACTAAAAATGGTATTAATAGGTATTGATCCATACCCATATTTACCATGTTTATCCAAAATATCAAATGGGTGAAGCATTTTGGGTGCTAACCAATTCCAGTACCCTTCGCCAGGTGGATTCCACTGCGGAGTGGCTGGTGGCGCGGGCCAGCATGGTGGCTCCGCCGGCGACGGCGGCTGAAACGAGCGCCGTTTCAGAGGCGACAACAGGGCCAATGGGACTATGGTTGGTACAGAGGTGCCCCAGTTTGATAACAAAACTTGGGTTTGAACCGTTTAACCAGCAGAAATGGTGATTCAAGCAAACTAAATGTGGACTTAGCTTTGTTGGTTGCTAACTACTATGACTATAGGGCATATATCGAACTAGTTAAAGTGCTTCAGACAACCACTTTAGAATCAGTGGGCACCACATCTTAACACTTGAGCAGTTTTAAGAACCCCAGTTGGTTGATGTTTCTACAGGCTTGCACTATCCTTTTTTGGGGATTATCACCATACACTGTGGGAATCGCCACCAAGAACTAACCATTGAATATCCCATATTCATGCTCCATGTATGGTATAACCTACATTTGGGTGATTTTTAGTGTAAATGTTGGTAGATGTTCCATACACGGAGCATTTGGGTATTATTGAATATTCACAATCGTAATTCAACCGGATTTGGCCATTACTGAACCAACAGAAATAGAGAAATCACCATGATTTGACCTGGGTCTAACCACTGAAGGTATATTGGATCCGGATGGCAACAACGGTTTTTCGATTCGGTTTAGGTTTGGATTTTAAGCCATTACTTTTTTTTTCGGTAATTGTCACTTATCATTTCTTTTGTTTGGGATTTTTGACCCAAGATTGGAAAATCATGGCGTTATTTGACCGGATTGATTCCGAACTGGGGCACCACCGCACGTAGCACAATCTTTCGGCTGCAGGACAGCCACTTGCGCTTTATCGACTCAGTAGATGCCCAGCGGGACAGCGAACGTGCTGCTCCTCGCCATGGAGATCATGTCGAATCATGATCATATCCCATCTCTAGACTATATGAACATAAATTATAAACATGAACCATATCAGTGATATGCCATATCATCTATTAATATATGAACATACCTATATGAACATATCCCATCTATATATCTGAACTATACACTATAGTTGATTTTCACTATATCCTTCATTTAGTGGGGAGTCATTTTCAATTGCCATGCTTGATTCACAAACGGTATGTAGGAAGAATCCCCTTGCCCCTAACATTACAGAACTCCATAGAAACATATAGAAACCGTGGCTTTGTAGGGGATGAAACCATGTATTTTGGGACCATACAAAACAAGGGATGTGTTTGATGATATTCGGACAATGGTGATATATATACTGTATATTGGGTGATATTTTTGGCATTTTTTGGCTTAATGATGTCCATTGTATCATATCAATCTGAATTAAACCGGATTCAATGGGAAGCAATAATGCCCGAACCGTGCGACGTCGCTGGAATGATGGGAATTGGATAGGGGCAACTGGAATGATGCTTCGTGCAGGAATCATGCCCGATTTGTTTATTGCTGGTTTGGGAGAATTAATACAATATACAGATTGACAATATATGGGAAATCATCGAAACGGCCTTCTTTCGAGATCAGGATTCCTAGCATGTGTATATATATATATTATTATAATATATATATATATATGTATTATCAATTGTTTAATATTAAATATACATATATATGATACATATATATGATACATATATATATATATATATAGCAGAAAGTTGCGTAGATACTTTGTTTGCTGGTCGCCTTTTGGGACGAAATTCTTTTGATTTTTCCATTCTACCCTCCACAAAAGCACGGCTGGAAAAAAATGCACTCAATTATTTGATGGGAGAATCATCTATATAGTATCTATAGGTTGGGATATTGTCCATTGCCATGTCTGGAGCCATGATTCACGTATCCTCGGATCTCTTTATGCTCCATATACTGCAATATATATATATATGTATATATATATATATATATTTATATGTATTATGTACAGTAAATCGGAATTGGCATAAATTCAGCTCAATTCCAAAGGACAACTTTTCAGGCTCCATGTTCAGTTTCTTTGCAGGCAGAAGTGGGCACCCAAAAAGCAACGGTTTGACAATGCTTAATGTCTACGCTTTGTTTTGGTTGCTTGTTCTTGACTTAGGACCTTTCACTATGAGCACAAATCCCAATGTATCCAGTGTTGGTTGTAAAGTGATAGTATGTTATAGTTACCTTCTGTCCACCTATTCGATTTTTTTTGGCTTATTCCTACTGGCGCTGCCATTGGTACTCAAAGTCGCTTGCTTACAAAAGATCGTTGGACTTGGTCAACTAGTTGGTACTTGATGATATCCAGGTTGTAACCGGTATGACAATGAGAAACTGTACAATCAGTTTTAACTACAACTAATATGAACTAACCAACCAGTTATCCGATAATATCCAGTTTGATAGGTGACTGACCAGTTAGCTAATCCCATAGTTATCATAGCCCATCAGAGAATAAGCTACCCATGTGGAATCGTAATCATTTGCCATTATTAACCATCATTAACCATCATTAACCATTATTAAACGATGGATACAGTAGGTAGATGCAAGTATCGGACGGAGCACATGTAGATTCGTAGATCATTGATGCCCATGGTCCAAGGTTTTGGACCGTTGAGCCTTTCTCCGATCCATCTCTTCCGAGGCCAATCTCCGCTACGCACTGCACCAGTGTCGCCAGGCCCCCCCTGAAATTCTTGCACTGGAGTTTTGATGGGGAGGAAGGCTACACAATAAATGTATGTATAGTATATATATATATACGTATATGCATATTGTATGATGTGGTTGCTTCATTTGTTTTACATATTTATGCGTAACGTCTTTTGCAGTTGCTTTTCTCCTTGTTATGTGCGAAGCGGCGAAGCGTTCGCTCCTTCAGGATGCCAAAACTGGTTCGCCCCTGGAGTTTGAGAATTTGCAGCAATGGCAAGTCATCCTTATGAGAGGCGAGTCGGCCTCGCAGCGTCACCGGTCGACCCGTTTTTATGATCTGCTTAGCTAATGAGAGGTGCGGTTGGGCTGATTTAATACTGGTTGGTGGTTTGGAAAATGAATTTTATGTCTTTCCATATACTGGGAATAATCATCACAAGGGATTGAAACCACCAACCAGAATAGGTATAACCAGGTGATTTTCACCCCAAAAAAACACCCCTACAATTATGGCCATACATCCGCTTTCAAGCGAGCATGGGATCTATCATGTTGGCAGATAAACAAGGAAACATCCTAAAATGGACCAACGTTATAGTTTGGTATAGCACATACGATAATGTAACATCCGACTAAGAATCGTCTATGTGCTCTTGATGAAACATCAATGTGAAGGCCAGGACGTTTGATTGTTGGCAGATCGTGTCGTCCGGATATCTCAATAGTGGCTGGATGACTCCCCAATTCTGCACAGCCACATTTACCCGAATAATTTATCACCCAGTCATGTAAGTACCCTCTGGTAAAGACACATAGCTATTAAACATTGCCATTTATAGTTGATTTACCCATCAAAAATGGTGAAATTCCATAGTAATTAAATATACGTAGCAGCACCATGGAGGTGTGACTGGAAACCCGTTGCTTCACTGGTCCATTGATCCATCGAATCCATACGATTAAAACTGGTGGGTATCCGGTATAGTAACACCCTTAAAAAGATATAGGAAAGTAAACATTTTACTATATGGTTTCCTATTTTTTTGGGTTGCTATAGAGTCTACAAATAAATATAGATAGATAGATAGATAGGTAGATAGATAGATGGATAGATAGATAGATATCGAACTAGTCAGATGGGGTGAACAGAAGCCAACAAACAAAACTCGGGGAGACTCTACGTTGGTCGGACATGTTCCTTCAGACACCCAAATGCTCCATGGCGCTGGAATATTTACCAAGATTTGCCCGAACAAAATCACCCAGCTATGTAGGTAAATATACCATACATGGAGCATATGGGACATGTATTTTGAAAACAACCCGACTTTTTGGTCGGAAGGAAACATGACTTTGGGACTTCTTGAGAAAGGTCAATTTCCGTTGGGTGTCGTTCCAGAATTCCTTTCAGGACAAAATGCTCAATACTTGGGTTTTCAATCATATGGGTCTTCAATTTGTTTATGCATGTGTTCACCCATACGAAGCAACAATGCGCAGTTTGGCTCAGCTTTCACGTAAACAATGCTCACTTTTCATCAATTTTCTCCAGTTACGCCAAAACTTCAGACCCAAAAACTGGCCAGAATATGCTATTATACCCACTGAGTCAGAATGGTTGCTATACCCACCGTCCGATTTTCGTTGCAGGTCTTCTCTCCGAGAGGTGCGTCTTCCGAAAGCACGACGCCTACGCCAAGCGTGGGCGAGAACGCTACCCACTGGAGAGTGGCCTGGCAAATGCGCAGGGCCATGATTTAAAGGCTTACGCCTGACAGCCGGGCGCCGGCCAAGCAATCTTGGCACCATGTTGGCCATGTTGGCAACGACTTTGGGCGTATGGTGTGGGAAGAGGCCGAGATTCTCCGCGCAAACCCAGGAAGGGCTATGTTGAACCGAGGCAGGCATAATGGGCAGTGCTTGCCTCTATGGAAGCAGTCTGGGCCTACGTTGGGGCTTATGTTGGGCCAAGTCGGGCCCACGTTGAGCTATGTTGGGCTCATCTTGGGCCTATGTTGGCCCTATCTTGGGCCTATGTTGGCCTATGTTGGGCCTATGTTGGCCCATGTTGAGCCATCTTGGGAGCTATGTTGGGGCCATGTTTGGGCCATTTATGTTGAAACGATCTTAAGATGCCAATTGTTCCGCCCCGGGCCCCCTGCTGGAGCCCAAAACCACGTAAAAACGGAGGTTTTGTACCGAAGGGCCCGTAACACCGTAAAAAAAACGATGTTTTAACACCGCAAGCAAAATACACCGTAAATTACAGGGGCTTCAGTTGACACGTGGTAGTTCGGGGGTGGGTCGGCGGCAGGGTTGGCAGCGCCTATAACCTTCGGTTGCCACCGAAGGCCTCCGGCAAGGACACTGGCTCCGTGGCCGGCGCCCGGATTAGTTGAGTGGCTCAGAGCCGCAAATTGGTGGTAGCAATAACTTGAAATGTTTGACATATATATAATACATCAATTAAACAAAAAACAAATAGCAATAATTACTTTACTTCGTGCTATCCCCACCATGACATCTATACGTTTTGTTACTGGCAAATCTTCTGGCATTCTATCTGACATATCTTTTGGCATTTTATCTGGCATATATTCTGGCATTCTATTTGGCATATCTTCTGGCATTCTACCTGGCATATCTTCTGCAATATGCTCTGGCATCTCTTCTGGCACATGTTCTTGCATATCTTCTGGCACTCTATTTGGCATATCTTCTGGCATATCTTCTGACATTCTATCTGGCAAATCTTCTGGCGTTCTATCTGGCAAACATTCCGGCACTTTATCTGGCATACTTTCTGGCATTCTATCTGACATTCTATCTGGCATACCTTCTGGCATACCTTCTGGCATTCTATCTGGCATATCTTCTGGCATTCTATCTGGCAAACATTCTGGCACTTTATCTGGCATATCTTCTGGCATTCTTTCTGACATTCTTTCTGGCGTTCTATCTGGCATATCTTCTAGCATTCTATCTGGTCGTTGAGGTCCAGCGGTGCTCACTGAGCTCGGAGGGTCCCAGGTTGAGGTCCAGCGGTGCTCACTGAGCTCGGAGGGTCCCAGGTTGAGGTCCAGTGGTGCTCACTGAGCTCGGACGGCGCAGGTTGAGGTCCAGCGGTGCTCACTGAGCTCGGAAGGTCCCAGGTTGAGGTCCAGCGGTGCTCACTGAGCTCGGAGGGTCCCAGGTTGAGGTCCAGCGGTGCTCACTGAGCTCGGAGGGTCCCAGGTTGAGGTCCAGCGGCGCTCACTGAGCTCGGACGGTCCCAGGTTGAGAGCGGTGCTCACTGAGCTCGGAAGGTCCCAGGTTGAGGTCCAGCGGTGCCCAGTGCGCTCAGACCCTTGCAGTTGAGGTCCAGCAGTGCCCACTGCGTGCGGAAGTTGGCGAAGAGCTTGGCGAAGAGTTGGCAAGGCGGAAGTGAACGTGGAAGTGGAGGCAGAGGTGGTGGAGGAGAAGGGGGACGACGAGGAGGAGGAGAAGGAGAAGAACAACTCTGATAAAATCTAACAAACCTCACCTGGCAGGTGGGGAATAATGATAACAATAATATATATATATATATATACTTACATGTATACATAGATTATGATCGTATGATGCTTTAGTGGTATAACTAGCTCGAACGTATGTAGGTGATGATAGTGAATATCTTCTTAGATAGGGCAATGGGTAGTTGCTTAAGCGGTGAATAAATTGGTTTTACATCCCCCAAGTATAGTTGGGAATGCCAGTGAACCGATCACCAGTTAATAAACCCCATTGCCTGTCTTCGTTGCCCAAGCAAGTCTTCCGACTTTGAAAAAAAATGCATGGCACCTACAATGACAGCTCCTTGCTACCAGCAGTTTCGGTGGTTCTGTATATGTTTGATTAAATTCTATATGATGGTGAAAATATAGTGACATTATGATATATAAAATATTTTTTTCTAGAAGGAATTGCTCTAAGTATTTTGGAAATAGTCCGAGCATCCCAGAGACAAAGAGGCCGGCCGACCTCCCAATACGTGTATGTATATATATATATATATATATATTTATATTTATACATATGTATTATATACATATAAAATGTGTGTATATATATATATTGCATTGTATGTTGTATTATTTACAGATAAGCTGGGCTACTACATAATTCGCGTTAACTATAGATAGATGTCTTACGTATAGAGCAACTTAGCAGTTCCGAACTGGACACAGCACCACGCGCAGCCAGCCATGCGCGCTTTAGGCAACACGGAGAGCAAATTCATGTAGCTGCTGGCGCAGGCGTGTACCCCAATAATCAGATGTTTATTACTGTTTTTATTGATTAATGAACAACCAATAGTCAATAACATCAATAATCAATAGAAATCATTAATCAATTGTAAGAATGATATTGTTAACCATTTGATACTAATAACAGTCTGATTATAATCTGATTATTTGCTGTTGATTATTGTTTTTTAATTGGTTAATGTTGATAATAACAATAACAACAAGCAATAATCAACAATAATAGTTTTAATAGTCAATAATCAGCAGCTGATAATCCAACAATAAAACAAAATATGGACGACTATATTATATTTTTGTTTGCCGGGTCTGACAATTTGATCCGTGTGCCATACCCTGGAATTAAAACAATCTTTAAATGGAATTGCGGGGTATGCTCGGTGAGGGGTCTGGACTTTTCTTATAGATAGTAGACATGATGGAACAGGATGCTAAGGGTCCTGAAGATAGAGGAGAAAAGTCTTACCCTGGATATCCCGCCAAAAACAGCAGATAGTGAAGATCCTGGTGCTGACTGGCAGTGTGGCTTCGGGGATACTCCAAGCCGTCCAAGCCATACCTCATAATTTCCGGCTCGTCATGTTTTTCTACAAAGTGATGCCCTGAAAGTTATAAGGTGGTCTACAATCCACATTGACTGTACATGCACCGACAAAACCCTAGTTAACCTACTTATAACCAACTTAAATAGTGAACTCGGGCACCAAATCCCATGAAATCACCATGTTTGAAGGTCAAACGAGTCAAAATCCCGTTAAATCACATTAATTTGAAATTAAAAAACCATTAAGTCAATGAATAAATCCCGTTCAATCCCATTGAATCTCATAGAATATCATAGAATCCCAAGTTTTCCTGGTTAAAGCACCACCTTGGCACCTTGATTCAAAGTTCCACAGCTCCCTGAGGCCAATAGCAGTGAGCCACTGGCTCTCCGCGCAGCACGGGCCTACCTGGACTGCTTGGGTTGCCTCGTAAACGGGTAAACCAACAATACTCGGATGGGGCCCTAAAAAATAGGTGGATGATGCTGGATGGTGATTCCCCCTCAAAAGACTAATGTTCAAGGTTTTGAACCATGCTGATGTGGTAATTTCTATGGTTTGCCTAGGAAAATGATTAAAATGATCTACATTCGTGGTGGGTTTTTCACATTCATGTTGGTATATGGAGGGTACCACTAAAAATGGTGATGTTTTCAGCCACAAAAAGTGACTGGGATGTGACTGGGTTCCTCCAAAAATGGGGACGACCAGTCTCCGCATCGGAAAAACATGCCCAGATTTTGGAGTGATTTTTGTGGACATGTTTGTATGAGATATTTCAATATATTTCATGCATCAACAAATGCGAATGGAACTTGGGATTTCAGGTGCAAAACTGAATGTGATTGAGTTCGTGATGCACCTGTGCTAGTAATTATGAACTGATTCAGTGGAAACCATTCATTCCGTCAAGAGACTCCCAGGCAATCTACCAAGGGGCTGGGGGGGCAAGCCACCAGGCTGTTGGTTAAGCCATAGGGATCATAGGGATGTCAACGAAGAAATTTGGGGATTCAACTTGTAGGTGGAAAGCACTGAACCGGTACGAAAGGATGAGACACATTTCCTTTTCCTAGACTCCAGCATCAATGCATATTTATATATATATATATTAGTATTTATATATATATATGTATTGAATCTGTCCTAATAGGTCCTAATAGCTGTAACAGTCAAAAAATGGATTTTATATGTTGGGCGAACGTTGTTTTGAGTGTTTTCCTTCGTGCACGAAATCGTGCTTTTGGGTGCTCTCCCTCGTTCCAAAAATCGTGCTTTTTGGTGCTTTCCCTCGTGCCAAAAATCGTGCTCTAGATCGTGCTTTTTGGTGCTCTCCTTCGTGCCCAAAATCGTGCTCTAGACCGTGCTCGCTGTTACAGCTATTAGGCTTGTGTCTATATATATATATATATCTGATTTGATATGATTTGTGTATATATATATATATATATTAATAATTCATATAATATATATATATTTATATATTGTATATATCATATTATGTTATTTTATTATATATTTTATTTTATTTTAATATATTATATGTTGTTATAGGGGGTCACACCTTGCTGGCATAAATGTGCCACGAAAACCTGATGGCATATGAACATCGAATATCTCGAGAATCGTCGAAACCTGCCATCTGATGGTGTGATGTTTTTAGCAATGAAACAAGATAGGCATCAAAATGGCATGCCAACTGTGTGTGTGTAGATACCTGTGGAAACATCTGATCTCAACGGCTTGCTCTCTTTCCAAGAAATATTGTACAGGAACGCATTGGAAGCTGCAGTTTTATCAGCTGTTTTCCCCGATGGAGCGCCCCAAAGCAAAGGAAAAATTCGAAAACGGCAAAGAAACCTACTGAAAGGATGGAAACTGCGACTTTTTCAGCAGTTGTCCCGGATGGAGCGCCGTAAATAAGCAAAGGAAAAACTAGAAAATTGCAAAGAAACCCATTGAAAGGATGGAAGCTGCAACTTTTTCGTGTGACCCCTTTATCCATCGAAAATTGCATTCAGGCATGCCATCTGTTTGAGTGCAACAACTGGTGAGGAATCAACAGGTGGGTTATTTTGCATTTCTGATGGCACATTGACGTCTTTTTGTCTATGCAATCTGATTGTGATCCTATATATATATATATTTTTGATAAACTATTTTTTGAATATAATAAAAACAATTATTATATTATCTTATATCATATTATTTCAAATTTAATATTTATATATTTTATTATAGAATATTTGTTTTAATATTATTTTTAATATATTATATTACATGTTGTTATATTATATTTTATATTGTATCATATATTATATTATATTATATTAAATTATATTTTATTATATTATATTATATTACATTATATTATTTTATATTATACTATATTATATTATATTTATATTTTTAATATTATTTAATATAACATGCTACAATGTCAATATAATTAACTTATAATACATATAACAATGGATATATATATATATATAAAATGATTTTTGTTTTAGCAAAGACTTCTGGAGAGATCTGTTTTGGTTTGCTCTATGGGCGTCTTTTAAGGTAGCTACTGGTATGAAAAATCCGCATGTGTTGTAAATCATCGAACTAAATGAACCAGTTTCCATTGTGAAATTACTGGAGGGTATGCTGGTTACAATATGTAACCCTTTCCAACTTGTTTTTAAGTTTTTAGGAATGCTGTGATGTTGAGAATGCATCAAGCATCATGGAGCTACCTAGGCTTGTAGGAGCGCCATGTACCCTATCCACTCGAAGAAATGCTGTGAAACGGGTCTTGGTCAATATTGGGTGTTCGAGGTGTCTGGCAAGTTTCGTAAAATATGGCAAGTCTATTGGGCCACAGGGCTTCCGTTTTTGTTGGCTAGCATCTTCAAGTGATAAAATATTATACATATATATATATAATCTGTTACGTATGTGGTTTTGTCCAGCAGTTATTTTTGTTTGTTTGGTGAGCCCAATTCGACACCTTTGATTGAACAATATGTATGAATGACGTATTATATATATATGGCCATATATGTTTATATATATATATACATACATGCAAATTGTATGTTGGTCAACCGCAATTTTAGACCGCACTTCAGTGCCTCATGTGTTTTTTTTTCCGCAGCATTTCCTGCGCCATGCGGCAGGACGTTTGTTTCTTCCATCCTTTTGATGACTGCAACAGCCGCATGGCACGTCTGGTCTTGGACTTCTTGCTAACCCGCGAAGGTGAGACCATGGTGGCTGGTGTTGCCTGGGGGGTAGATCCTCCAAGTAGCCCAAAAATGGTTTGTTTCCCCATAAGTTGAGTAACTTTACCCATTTTTTGGAAGGCATAAAGGCGGGTCTAAGTAGTTCATTTTTTTTGTTCTGAAGATATTGTTACGACCCAGTTTGGTGTCTTATAGACTTATAGATATATGCCACGGTGAACGTCAAGTAAAATTGTTGTACATACAAGTTGAGATCTGAGCCAACAGACATTTGGGGTATGCACCTTCAAAACCAAAGAAACTTGAAGTATAATCTCCTAAAGTGGGTTTGAGGCCAAGCTCCCTCACTGATGTTTTTTTTTTATCTTTCTTGATAGTATCAAAACATGTAAAATATGGAACCAACATAAGTCAGTCAATTGCCAATCTGCAATGTTTTGAAGGTTTGGGCATCAAAATAGACGGAACCCTGCGACGTCACAAAATAGTAATTGCTGATTAAGGGTAAGGGTAATCATCCCAATATGATCTAATTTCAGTTTGCAAATTGCATAAATAATTTATAAACTTGAACCAGATGGGATGAAAGTGACCATACCCCGAGTGGTTTCGTTGGAGTCCGTGCTTAAGTAGCAACGAATGAAACATGGAGTCACACAGTGTAGCACCACCATTCTGGCAATATGTTCAGCCTTGCCGAATTTTCACTTCTTACATTTGCTTGGGTGACAGAGGGCTACCTTCCGTTTCGGCACAACACTTCTATCGCAATGATGTTCTCATTTTTATACCAGTCATGGATAGTCATGGGCCATCGCTTCACATGTTAAAACAGCGCGACGCATTCAAAACTTACTGGTTCAAAAATACTTTTATTGCTTAAATCCATTTTCAAGACATCAGTAATTTGTGTTTTGACAAAAAAACAACGATTTTCTTTGTGACCGGAGTGATGAAAAATCATGTGCGCATATGATTTCGGCTCATGTCAACCATGCTGGCAGGATATACACTGTGCACTGTCGAGCCAATATTCCTGCCCTCTGGCGACGGGGTTTGGCATTCCAAGAATTGGCGGAAAGGAACACCGAGGGAATGTTGGAAAAATATTGGAACGCCTATTTCCAAAATTTCTTTCAAAATTGGAGGCACCATCCCACAAGGTGGTGCCCCATAGTTAGCTAAGTTGGTTTATAACTCCCATAACTATGGTTTATGGCAGATATAACTATAGTTCATGGGGTTTATAAACCAACTTATAACTGGGGGGCACCATCCTGCAATTGAAACCTACATATATCTGGAGCCGAAGCCCATCGCTTCCTGCAGGCTTTCTTGAAACAATCCATTCAGCCATAGCGTGACTCCATTGTCGGTAACATTTGGATTCAGCTGACATAGATTTAGACCCTCATTAACTCCGCCCAAAGAAGATAGACGTGATAGAAGATGGTGTTTCATTCCTGCATTTGATACTGTAGGTGAAAAAATGTACCACCTTGGATGGTTAAAACCCAATACCTAGTTGGATGAACCACCGTTTTCAGCTGGCGCAGGATGTTTACCATCCACAGTATCCCATTCATCTCCATGACAAATAGAGTTTGTTGTTTTATCCCCTTAGGATCCACTATTACAACCTATTATAACCCATGCAAGGTGGTGCCCCAGTTCGTTAGCTAACTTGGTTTATAAGTCCAATAACTAGGGTTTATGGAGAATATATCTATAGTTAATGGGGATTATAAACCAACTTATAACTGGGGGGTACCACCTTGTGTAATATACATATATATATATATATATTATGGAATATCGATCCCCAGTCAGATATGGAGAATTCCTGGACGACAGGAACCACCGCAAAAACTCCGGCAATGAGAAACATACAAGGGAATGACATTGGTTTTCAGAAATTGTGCAACAAATGGGGCAAGCGATGGGACCGTAACAAATAGCGAGACCTCTTTGAAAGTTTCTGCCATTTACAGTACCCATACGTTTACAGTTTGTCATTTTCCAGTAATACCTCCTAAACAAAATGCCATACATAGTGCAGACATGTGGTAAGCGATGGTACCTTCCCAAATTTGTTGATGTCCCAAATTCATGAAGCAACAGAGATTGCTAAGATCGTCCACCAAAAAAACTGGTTGGTGGTTTGGAACATGAATTTTATTTTCCCATCATATTGGGGTCATGTCATCATCCCAACTCAACCACCAACCAGAAACCATGGGTCCCTACAGGATGGTGCCCCCCAGTTATAAGTTGGTTTATAAACCCCATGAACTATAGTTATATCTGCCATAAACCATAGTGAAATGGGAGTTATGTTCACCAACTTAGCGATTCCGAACTGGGGCACCACCTTGTATAGAATTCCCGGAAATTCCTGGGATTTGAAAGCTCCAAACGGACTGAAATTCCGGGGATTTGGAACGCCACGCTCCGAAGGTTCGCGCGCTCTGCCCGCGACGCCGAAGGTGCCAAGGGTTTCGCGGAGCAAGTGCAGCAGCTGATGGTCAAGGTCTCAGCGGTGGCTTGGTGCATGGGAAAACATGGCGAAAATCATGGGAACAGATGGGAAAATCCTATAGGAACATCTGGGATAACATTGGAAAATATAGGAACATGCCGGAGACTTTGATGATTTAAGAATTGGACAATTGCCATTGAGTTCGTTGATTTAGCAGACGGAAAATAGGTGATGTTCCAGTTTGCAAGCTGTTAAACAGACACACTAACTATAACCATGACTAAGAGTTGGGTCATGACTAGCCATAAACCGAATTGGTAACGACTAGCAGTTTGCAAACTCGCTAAAACCATCGGCGTAGCATCGAACTAAATGGGCCATGACTTCCATGGCTATGTCAAGCTACCAGATGGTAAACCTCGCAAAAGCTATGCTCTGCTGGGATTTGGTGATTTTGTATATTATATATGACCATAGAATGGATCCAAATGGCAATGGATTGTGTATGGTTTATGATGCTGTTTTCGCCACAATCGTCAGTAATGATCCCATTGGAATTTGACATTCATTTGATAGCAGGAATGAAGATGACAATTGACCTTTGTGTTTGAGCACTAACTCGTGTAGGTAACATTGTCAAAATATCTTCTTTTCTCCAGTTTGAGGGTATGAAACATTACGTAAGAAGCTATTCTACTTGTAGCAGTGAATCTCTCCAATGTGATGAGAGAAGCGGATTTTTTAGACATGACATCAGATGGGAAACCAAAGGTAGTGCTGGTCAGATACCAAAAAATAAGCAGAGGTTTTACCACCTTGGAATTTGAATCCAGGATCAAAGGCGATGGGATGTGATGGGCTGGCGCTTGTATGGCGATTTAGTGGGGACCGGCCATGGCTACCGAGATTTTGAGCCATGGCCAGTGCCAGGGGATAATTACTATGTTGGGACATGCCTCCAAAACATGCGGAGTCATGGGGATACCCTCTGGTAAACATACAAAAAACTATGGAAAATCATTATTTCCATGGGACATGTCACTATTTCTATGGCCATTTTCAATAGCTTTTTGTATGTTTACCAGGCCGGGTATACCATATGTTCACAAGCCAGTTCAGAACATGCCATGGAAACTCTCTCATGGCCTGATTCAGTGATTCATCATGCGGCCTAGGAATGGGACAAGCCCTTGGCAAATTGGATCGACAAGTATCCTGATCCCAGTTTCGAAGCAAAGGAGAGATGGTTCATGTGTATGTTGCTCGGCAAGTTGGATCATGAAGTCCGAGCTGTACGTGATCAGGCTTTTTTTTGGCATTTCCATGTGGTCGCGTTTCTAAAAGATCCGAGAAGAAAGTCATGGGAAGCTGTGATTCTTGTTTCTTGGAAGGAACGATTCTTGCGACTAAGTGGTAACTGGTAACCCTTCAATGTATAGGTAATTATTGTGGTTGCCGGAGTGAAACAACTGCGCAAACATTGACATCTTGTAGGCTGAATTAAAAGTGATGGCGCAGGTATCACTCCAGCAACAAGTGATCAGCTCAATCCAATGGTTTGAGCAGAAGTTTCCCTGTTGCTGAAGGAGGTTTTTTCCAAAACCCCACCGAGGTAAAAAAAAACAAAAAGACCCAAATCGAATCAAGTCGATGGATGAAATGTTAGAAATCTTCCAGCTCTCTTCATAGTTCTGGGTAAATGACATAACGACCGAACCCTGTTCTCCCGAACCCTGGAATCATGGTTTTTATAGGGAAATCATCCCCAAATGGCCCAACAATTCAGGTTAGTGAAATATTATAATTTACCCAGATAGTTGGGCCTGTGCTTTGAGTCGAACTTGCTCTTTTCTACAGGATTTAATGCTTGGGTATCACCAATCTGCTTTCCAACATTGGTCCCTGAAACAGAAACTCTTTCGAATTTGAGTGATCACGAAGCATTTCCAGATCCATCCTCAGATTCCTCCAAGCCTTCCTATGTAAGGCTTACTTGGTGCCAAATAAGTCTTCTCTAGTCCTGTTAAAGTGATATATGTTTCCTGCAATAAGGAGTGAACAAGTGAAAAGATACACTGCACCCGTCCAGAAATCTTCTATGATTCCTAAGCCGCCTAGTAGAAATCCAACGTTTTTTGGTTGTTCTGAACATGAGCTAGGTTGTTTATGTGTTTTGCTGTCCAATTACAGCATTGTTTGAACATGTGTTTTCTCATTTCCTTCATCCTTCTCCTTCTTTTTTTCAAACCTATGTTTGCCCCTGACCTGCTTAGATTTGCCCATGCTGATGGTCGTGATCTCCGACCCTATTTCAATCCGAAAATGGTAGAATCGTAGAATTTCTGAAAACGAGAATGTCTTATTACCCATGGGATCCATGGTGCTGGTACATATGCTAACATTGGGGGTATATTGATGGGATCCATGTTACCATATATAGATATATATATATATATAGCATACATGTATCCTATGGGTTATGCCTTGGAAATGCGTTTCGAAAAAAAGGCTCCTTCCAATACACCCAACACCCAACAGCCAGCACATTTTATCCTGGCTACTTGAGCCCACCGTGAGGGTGTCCGGGACTTGATACATCTGAAATTCTGCGTTGCCAGCCATTGGCTGCAAAAAAACACATTTTGGAGGATGCCAACCAGCGGATCTCAGTATATAGTTGAAATGTGTTTTTTTTTCCCTGGCATTGGTTTCACATCTTTTCAGGTCGTTTTCAAGTCTGAATTTAATTTCACTAGAACCCAGTCCATGCTGACAAGCCAGTCAAGACTACATGTCGTTTGCTCCAACCATACAACGAAGCCGGTCATTATTTGCTTTGACATTTCTTCTCCTCACATTGGGTGTAATCTGAGGGTGTATGCTAGATGAACAAGGTCCACAGCTGGTGTCATCAGCTCCGTGGCTGAATCCCTGCCTAGGTCTAAAAAAAAGTTCGCTCTGAAAATCGAACTAAATGGGTGCTTTCCATTGCCAGAGTTGATTGAAAGTAAATCATTTGTAAATATCTAAAAAATGAAAATTCAATTGGATATGGATTGGAGTCTTTAATGTTGTCTTGATTTGCAATTGTAATTCAAAAGATTCATAGCCATCGCCTTCTGCATTAAAGGGCTCGCGGGGTCCTTGAGGCGTCTCCTGGGCTCTTGGAGCAGATTTTATTGAGCGCTTATTGATAGACAGCATGCAGCAATTAATATTTAAATTAGTTGATCAAGCTAGTTTCTGTGAAAACGCACATGCTAAAATAGTTATCAACTAACATAGTTATTAATTGATCAAATTTATTGGCTATTTCTGTAAAATAGTGGGTGAAAAGCTGGTTGGCGCAACAGCTAAACGTAAAAGGTCGAAGATGTGTAAAAAAAATGGGTGGTGTGGCTGACGTCCTGAGCACGAAGTAAAACATTGAAACCATTGCATTTGATATTGTAACAACCTGTATACATAGTAACTTACAAGCATGTAGCGACAGAAAAGCAAAATCCCACGATCTCAGGATGTTTTGCCTAGATTGTTCATCTATATGTTTGGCTTGGTTTCGACAAATCCCAGCTACCACCCCGAACCTACTTGTCAGTGGCAACAATTTTGTGGGGTGAATTTCCGTCTGAGTCTACAATCTTTGTTTCTTGTTGGTCAAGTATTTAGATATAATTCTCATGTACATACACATATATTACATTATATATATATATATATATAGATATAGATAGTCAC